ACGTTAGAACGCGAGTAGTTACGTTCGTACGTAAGAGTAACGCAAGAGACCCACGTATAGCCGTGTTTGCATAACTCTGCAGCACGCAGCACGTAATTGGCAGGCGTCACGCGCCGGGCCTCGAACTTTCGCTACAGTGTCGCGCCCTCAGTGCTCAGGGAGCCCGCCATCGCACTCTGGGAAGAACTTCTGCTGGTTGCCTAATCCTGCCTCGTAGCTCTCAATAAATCTTTCATGTTGAACAAAAAACCATTCGAATGCAGTAGCCTTCTGCTATGAGAGGTCGTTTAGTGAGTACGTTTGTTAGAATGCTGGAGGTTCGATGCATTACTATTCATAACTGACGGAAAGCGATTGTTTTTTAGCCGTCGACGTTTGGCCCTGTTTCGCAACATTTTTCCTTTGACGGTTCGAGGCCCCGTAAAACGACAATTGATGGCCACGATGAGATTATGAGTTAGGAATCTGCAGCACACCCTTAGCGCCTTAGCTGTAGTTCAATTTGTGCAGCGCGGAAGCCATATGTAAGAACTTCGGACGATGTGCTGTTCGTTAATAATGAGAAATTCTGAACCGTATTTTGAGGTTACTGGTGAATTTTGTATGGATGATAGAATTTCTCTTTCACTGTAATAGCTTTACTTGGCCGCCTGCTAATTGATGAGAGTTGCCATAACCCCTTCAGCACAGTTTACGTTTTGCACACACGGACGCACACACAAATACAAACAGGGAAAAGAGCCGGCGGGATAGCGTGTCGATTATTAATCAACGTTCTTCAGACACCTATACAGGGGGGGGGGCCAATAAAAAAAGACATTTTGTCTCCACTTCCAGATGGATTTAAGCACACTTTGCTCAATTCAGACCGAATGGTCCCAACTTATTATTAAAGAGCGCATTCCATTCTATAAGAAAATCTTTATGGTGGCCACCTACGTGGACGGCATCAGAAGAATTTGCCCTGGAAACATTGGTGCACTGGTCGAGTCAGCTGGGGTCTTCAAAGGATCTCCTGTAGCATACTTAGAAAAGCTTACGCTTTGAGGCGCGAATTTGCGCACAGTGGTAGCTAATGCCTCTAGAAAACTATCCAACATTAAATCGATTCACGAAATTGCGTAAGAGCTTCAGGCTGAAGCTCTTACGGTAGACTTCCTTGAGCCTGACGACGGTGACAGATGACGTCATATTCTGAAGACGGTGAGGGCAGTGAAGGAGGGCCTGCGTTCACTTATAGAGGGACACTTAGAGAATACTCTGCTGAGGAACTCCCGTCAACGCCAGGCAATCTCTGCGAAGAAAAAAGGGCCGAAGTCCGACATAGGCAAAATGTCTTTTTTTTGGCCCATCCTCGCCCTGTATTGTTTCGTTGGAACCCCGTCAACAGTCTCCATGAAGAACTGCTTGATTAAAAGTCTCAGAAATTTTTGTCAGCCGTCTGATATCCGAACTGTTTCACCCCTAGCCCTTATCCGCCAAGTTTTAGCGTCATTTGCCAAGAAACAGATTTAAATCGCGCCCTTAACAGCGAATTTTTCGCCTGAGATTCGTACCAAATGCTCACGTTGATATACCATGTCATGACTTGCTTCTGTACTTTCCTTTTCAAATTTGAGAGGAAACAAGAAACTCGTACGTAAAAGCTTATTGAGCTTGTTGAATTTAAAGCTACAAAAAAGAGGAGAAATGTCCATTCCAGACTAAAAGGACGAATTCACGATCAGAGGGAAAATCGAATTAGGAAGAATTCACCTGGTTGAGGGACCCGCGGAGCTCCTAAGTGTGCGAACTGAAGCACAATTTGCACAGGAGGAGTTGACCTCGTTGACCTATTAAGGTTTAATCCCGCCGCGGCTGGTCAGTGCACGCCCACCGATCATCTGATCACTCGCCGCAGGTCTATACGTGGTGAGTGATTAGATAGGTGAGAGAGCGTAGCGTTGAAGAGGGCACAGCGATGATAGTCGCATCAATGCTCAAATCAACGGGCAAGGAAGTGGTCCCATTTCTCAGGTTCTGGGCCGTTTCGCATGGTTTTTCCTTCTTTAGTGTACCACTCACCATCGCTAACTTAATTTGAAATGGGTTGCTTTTTCCAGCGTGAATTCGTCCTTTAAGGCAAATGAAAGGGATCAAAAGGTGAAAACAGAAAGTCGTTTGAAAACGGCGGAAACCTTCCAAATAACCTAATACTTAGTAATAGGTTGGCCGAAAGCAAATGTCGTTCCAGATCACCAATAAATTTCACTGTAAAAACAACAATAAAGCGCATGACCTGAGTAGTGTCCTCCATTTTCAACTCTTGATCCCCTACGCTGTGCGCAAGGAATGGGTGATTCCTCAGAAACCGTCTCGCGTGTTACGCGAGAAGTCGGACACCAGAAATTATATTTCGTCGGGTACGAAGTTATTACGATACGTATTTCCGACTAATCTTAAGTTGTGCTGTGCTGACCGGATAAACGGTAATCGGAGAGCACCAAGTTTGCTTCAAATGGTACGCGGAGCAGAACTTCCAAGTCCAATTCTTCAATTCCTTTTTGAAGGATTTCCGCAAGGTGGAGGTTTTGCACTTTTGGGCATCATTTTAGTATTGAACAGCATGACCGTTTGATGACGCAGCTCTTGGTCCAAGCCTTGCTACGGAGAGCATGAGCCCGACTGAGCGGCACGGCACTCCAACACCAATCAAAAATGACTGATCAAGCTACCCGGTTCCGCTGCTGTCCCTGCCAATAGGCAAAACACGGCACTCCTGTTCCGTATATGTCCGATTACTTGATCAGCCTCAGCTGTCCATCTGCTGCTAATCACGGTCGCCTCCTCACTGCGTTGTCGTAAGACATCCCTTTCTCAAATGACCTCACAACAAAAAATATACTCTGGTTTTCGAAGGTATGGGAGTTTCAAACCGCATTGCAGGCGTACATTCGCTTCGTTCTTTTTCGTATTCAATAGGAGCATCTAAACTTATTTGCCCGCCCACCAATGCGTCAACGTTCAAATCCTGGTGTGCCTGGTTTCATCGTCCCATAAGATTGCACTCAGCTCTTTGAAAGCGACGACAGCGATAGCTTATAACTGGCCTCAAGACTGAGCGCTGGTGTACAATATTAGTAAGCGAGCGCACGCAATGAAAGCTGCTAGATCATTCTCTTGTCCACAGAAAGTAAATTACTAAGTTTTATCCTTAAGACATTAATACAAGTTACTAGGCAGACGTCGAGATACACACTAGAAACACATCGAATAAAAAGGCACAAGTAACCATTGGAGATAGACACACTACAACCGAAGGAACAAAGAGAACGATCAGATCGTATAAGCAGCTCTTGGGTGTTGAGGGCGTCGCCCTTGGAAAGGTGAGAAGAGGAGATCAGGAAGAGGTCGCGGTCCTCGGCCGCTGCTGCCAGACGTCTCTCTCGTGTCGGCGGCGCCGAAGGTCTCCGCCCTGAAAGAGATGAGTCAGAGCTAGAAGAAAGACTAACTGGGTACAAGTGATCACTGTGCTTGTGCTTACACCTCCCCCATTTACACCAAGTCCGTCCCGGACTTCAAAAGTGAAATATAGGGCTAACCTCGGTGCCGGAACTATTCTCGAATATACCGATCTAGTTCCGCGAACGGCACGACTGCGCCGAGTGAGTTCGCCCATTCCACCACACGGCTCCAGAAGGCACGGCGTTGAGTGACGCCGCGTGCCCAAGGATGAATTGACCATGACGACAGCGTGTCAGGGCGACGTTCATCCTCTTGTAGTCGTCCAAGAAGTCGCCGGAGTCGGCTGAAAAATCGGTACGGGTGGTCAAGAGAATGACTACCTCCTTTTCTCGGCCCTGCACGGAGTCGACCGTCGTCAGCTCCACTCCAAGTCGATCCAAGCGCTCCTTAAGGTGCCGCGATTGTTCCCTGTAAAAAGAGATTACGCAAATCTGCGCTGGCTGCAGCTGCCTGGCCACTAAGCGCTCGATTAGGCGCACGCAGGCGGTGCCCTCGCTCACATTGTAGTGCGACTTACTCGCCGCTTTTACCGACGGGCCTTCGACGTCGAGGAAGAGGAAGGGCACCTCCGGCGATGGGAACTGCGTGATACCTAAAAGCAGCTGGCGAGATGCCGGGTCGGCACCGCTAATGAGCGCCCCATTGTAAGCCACAATGTTGGGGAGGGCATTCAGCGCGGGATGAGCCCTGAAAGTTGTGACCAAAGGAGCCTTTGGGACCGCCGGTGCCTCCACCAGCACTGTCATGACACTGCGCGCTCCAAAACGAGCTGGGTTGGAAGACCTAGCACAGCGGGCGTGGGGCTCCAGCTGGTGGATATCCCCTATGTAGCGCTGCTGCGCGTTGGGCACCCGGCTGGCGATGGCCGCCAACGCCGGCTCGGGGATCTGCGATGCTTCGTCTCCAATCACAGTACCAAACGAGCCGACGTACTGCCGGAAGATGCCGTCCGAAGCGTCCGTGGTGTTGAGCAGGGATGCCGTGGTCAGGCATATGACCGCGGGACAGCGCACCTTAAACATAAACCTTACCATCCTGTCGGTGGAACGTGACACCGAGCGCTCGGCAATTTCGTACTCCAGCTGATCTTCCTCAGACATGTTGACAAAGCGGGTGGGCTCCGCTAGATAGGCTTCCAGCACTTCACGCTTTCTCTTGTATTCCACACAGAAGTCGCGCTCGTCGTTGGTGAGCTGGGCAGCATAGTCTTCTCCCAGGGACTTGAGGATGGCATTCAAGTCGACCCTGGTGGGGTACAAATTTTCCGCAGCTGCGGTGTCGGACAGATAACGCACGACCTGAAGGTGTGCAAAATCTGTCAGCGATAATAAGGTCTCTGTAAATTGGGCAACCGCCGCATTTGTGGTAGCCGTAACGACCACCGTAGACTGAGAGCGTGACGCGATTAGCGCCGCGATAATGGCCCCCACCATTGTTTTCCCTGTGCCAAAGGCTGCTTGGATTGCCGCGATGGGTTGCTGTCCGATGGCCAACCGCACGGCTTCCTGCTGGTCTCCAGTGAGATGCACCGTGGCTCCTCGGATCTGAAACGCTGGTGCAACGATGTTGGGGTCCTGCGCCTCCGGGAGCGCTTGTTGAGCAGCCTGGGGGAGGCCGTACACCGCGTCTACTATCCGACTGGCCACGGAAGTGGGGGGAAGGTCCGCATAGATGTGCATGTGGGATATGGCCTCATAGATGGGGTTGGCCCGGGTGGTCTGCCTGCCGAGCCGCACGTCCATGTCCACAAAGGTGACCACCCCAGAATGGCGACCGTGCTGTACGACCGCGCCGCAGATGCTCTGGTGAGACCATGTGAACGCCTCAATATAGACCTTCAGCGCATGCTGACCGCTTAGTACCTCCACGCGAACGACCTTAGCGCGAGCTATGCTGCCATGCCCCACTGCGTGCAACGCGACGGGACGCTGCACGCACCAGCCAGCCTCCGAGTTCATGTTGCTCAGGATGAAGGAGAGCTGGATGGGGTAATGGTAGGGTCGCGGGACCATGGCCGTCACCCTGTGAGAAAGACGGTCGTCGTCAGCGGAATTTATTGCAGCCAGCGTTGAGCAAGCGACGTTAAACAGCTTAGACATGCGCACCCTTGCGGCTGCGCTGTCGAGCTGGTAACTGTCGAAGGCTCCGGCTCTGTCCGCCAACCACGCGCGGTCGTTCTCACTGAGCTTCCAAACACGTAGGGGAACCAGACCTTCGTCCGGATGCATGGGCAGGATTTGCCGGATAAGGGCGCATAGCCGCGTGCGGGCCTCAACGGAGCTGGGGGGCTCCGAGAAACGCATAGCGCACGATACGTTAGCGCGCGACGACGCCAGCACTATGTCGTCTTCCCTCACGTCGTCCAGCTTGAAGTCGCAGATCGAGTGCGTGAGCGTCACCGCGTCGGGAGCCCCCTCAAACACCGCTTTGACTGACGCTACAGTCCCTTTGCGCGTTATCTTCCTCGAGAGGATGATACCGTATACCGGGTCAGGCAGTGTCACCGGCGTGACGAGGGAAAAATAAGAGACCCTGAAAAAATAAACGGAGTTGATGTCCAACGCCGTAGTGCGCGGATTGCGAGCCGCGGCCAGAATGCCCGCGGGGTTCTGCATGGCCTGGAGTGTGGGCTTGACGTCGTATACCCAGACGAAGTCCTTAACTGAAAGACGCGCTTTATTGAAACCGCGGAGTCCTGTAATATAATTAATCGCGAACTGGTCCAACACGATACAATGAAGATCCCGACGATCCGGCCCGACTACGAAAAAGTCCTTGGCTTCCAAGATTACGCCGGTACCCCAACCTGTAGATACTACCTGATAAAGAACCGGACGGCGTCCTTCACGTGTGGTCGGGTCAATAGTCGACTGTACCAGATCGTCAGTATTGAGCGGCAGAGAGCTGGTATCTTCATCAGCATACGTCCCATCGAGAAGGTGGGCGATCGTACTATCGGTCCCATACCTGAAATTGATGGCGTCTTCCATGTGCTGCAGCTCAATAAACGGGATAGGGTCTGGATACGGCTGAGCACGCACTACGAAGTTAGGGAAGAGCGACCGCGCGAATTTGGAGCTCATGTAGCCCGCGTCCGGGAGGTGCTTATACGTGCCCACGGGCACCTCATTGGTGACCCGGTTGTACCCGTAAGTTACCATTTGCCGAGGGCGCGGATTGACAAGGCGACCCCAAGGATGGTAGTCCGCCAGGTAGTTGGTATAGTTAGGCGGATTTGCCCTCGGCAATTGGGGAACCGACTGGCGCCCAGGTGGAGTGTGCCGCCGTGGAGCCTGTGAGCGGCCGCGCCTGGCGTGGCGACGGCCTCGACCACCCTTATTGATGCCCCGGGAAGAGGTACCATTACCGCGAGGCCCACCGCGAGAACCACCACGAGAACCACCAGCGCCCCGGGAACTGGCATTGGCGCCACTTGGACCAGCACCATTGGCCTGAGAACTTGCGACGACGCTTGCTATAGCTAGCACCCCTCCCACCACTACTGGAGGAAACTGGCACGTCAGGCCAGCCGATTGCTCCGAAAGGAACTTGGGGCGCCGAATCCGGCGAGGGATGGGGGGTTGGTGCTCCAACCCTTAGGGAGAGGTCTTCCATCGACTGCGCGAGAGTAGACGCGACGGTCTCGTCCATCGGCTCGTCATTCTCGTTGTCAGAAGCCAGGAGGGCTTCTTCTGACAGGTCAAGCCCTCGAGAAGTCGAGCTTGACGACGACGAAGAACTGCCGCTCGATGAGGTACTCTCCTCAGTGGTAGAGCTCTCGGTGTGAGCCGAAGTAGTCATATCTGAAACTGGCTCATTGGGTACGACAGGCGCCTCTGGCTCGGGAGATCGCGAAGCGTCTTCAACCGAGGGATCCATAGGACGCCCATCAACAGTAATCAAGTCTATGTTTTGACCGGAACCCGGTACAGAAGAAGAAGTGGACGTACCTGTATCAGCCGGCGTTGGATCCGGCGGAGTGCAGTCCATTACGGTTGGAAGCGAGTGGGGGTTCGTGCCCGAGTTTTCTGCAAAAATGGCAGTAGAATACGGTGATTCGAACCAAACGAGCCTGTATGCGACGAGGCACGGAACGACAAACGCGAAGCGGTGAAACAAGGATAAGCAGGAGAGCAAAAATAAACATAAATAAGTATCTAACGAATCGAAATGGAGGGGGTAGATTCCTTTAGCTGACATGAGCTGTAGTAGGACAGATGGAAGGAAGCCGCTAAGAGATGCGAACTGAACGAAAGAAGATGCGGAGAGCCGCAAAAAACAAAACAAAAAGGTCTATGTTGTGGACCAACCGGTCAAAGAGAAGTACGTCGAGCCCTGAAACGAGTATTATAACCATGCGTTGGTGCAGGTTGTGCTGGAGTGCTCTCTGTCATACTTTCAGTATGGCTGTAACCAGGTACTGGGGAATCCGTAGCGTTCGCTGCGGCTAAGGCCTGTTGTTCCTCAATTGGCTGCCAACGGGAGGTAAACACCGGACCAGATAGTTCGTAGCATCGTTTTACCTGGTTCATATGAACGCGCTTTGGAGGCGTTTGTGGGGCAGAAACGCTTACTATGGAGAGATGGGGAGGATCGACCGCGATGACTCGAAATTGCCCCAGCCATGGATTGCAGAGTTTGGCCGATAGTCCTACCTTGGGTGCCAAATCGCGGAGGTAAACCCGGTCACCAACCTGAATAGTTAGGGGATGAAGGTGAGTGCGATCGTACTGCTGCTTGTATTTTTCGCGCTGGCGGTCATTGAACTTTGCCGCGGAGCGCCATGCTGCGTGCAGAGTTGACACAAGGTTTTCGATATAAAGCCCAGCGTCGTCGAGCGAAGGGTGGTGACGCTCTTGGTCGTGCTTAATGAGCAAATCGATGTTGAACACCGGATCCCTACCAAACATAAGAAAGAAGGGGGTGTTATCGGTGCTAGAATGGACCGACGTATTGTACATAAAAGCGCACGCTTGCACATACTTATCCCAATCGAGCTGATTTTCCGCGATGTAGGTGCGCAGCATAGGATGAAAAGTGGCGAACACTCGCTTCGCAAGCGCCGTTACCTTCATGGTGATAAGGAGTGGTGAAGTAACGGCTAATCCGTAAAAGCCGTCCGAGCTCTGTCATTACTTCCCCTTTGAAGTACGAGGCGTTGTCGGAGACTAACTGAGTCATCGCCCCGTAAATGAGGATACCCTCTGACATGATTGCGCGGGCGACGGTTGGCGCGGCGCAATCCGGGAGGGGGGCAGCAATAACGTACTTGGAAAAATGATCGATCATCGCCAAAATGTACTTGTTGCCATCTTCAGACGTGTGGAGAGGCCCTGTAAGATCGACATAAACTTTGTCGAAGATTGCGCCGCTGATGACAGGGGTCAACTGCTCGCGATTCATCTGTTGATTGCGCTTGCGCTGACATTCATCACAGGAACGGCAAAGGGCAAAGATATCCTCTGACATATGCGGCCAGAAGTACTTGCGCGATATCTTAGCAAGGGTCTTACGCCAGTTAAAGTGCCCACCTGCTGAAGGACTAGAATGGAATGCTAAGAAGACGGGCTCCTTCAGCTTTTCAGGGATAACCAAACGCTCGAACCGTAAGGAAGACTGGGGCGAACGCCGCTCGCAGTAGTACAAGCACCCGTTTTTCTGGATGGAACAGTTTTCGGCCACCGACAAAAGAGCGGACTTTTGCGCCTCGTCGACCGTATCCGGAAAGCGCTGGGTTTCTATGAAAGACATGATAGTAGAGCAGAATGGATCCTGCTTTTGCTCCACTAGGGCGTCATACGGCCGAATAGCGCGTAATTGACCTAAGCATAGGAGGGAAGGGCGCACGGACCACGTTGCGGGGGACACTACGTTAACGCTTACCGGGAATTCGATGATGTCTTCGGACTCCGGGTCATCGTCCTTGAACTGCACCTTCTTAGTAGGCGCCCTGGACAGTGCGTCCGCTACCACATTAGAAGAGCCCTTGAGGTACTCAATGCTGATGTCGTAGCTCTGGAGCTCTACGACCCAGCGAGCCAAGTTATCGTGGGTCTTGTTATGCTTCAGCAGAAAAGTTAGCGGCCGGTGGTCCGACAAAACGGTGGTGTGATTACCGTATATGATGGCCCGGAAGAACCGAAGAGCGCTGATTATCGCAAACAGTTCAATGTGCGTAGGGCTCCATTTCCTCTGCGAATCAGAGAGCGCTTTACTGAAATATCCTACCGCTGCAAGTTGAGCAGGTGAATCTGAACAGGTCTGGAACAAGGCGGCACCCACCGCGAGCTGACTTCCGTCAGTATGCAAGAAGAACTCCTTATCCTGCGGGAAAGCGAGGCAAGGCTTAGATGTCAGCAAAAGCTTAAGCCGCTGGAATGATTCCTCTTGTTCAACGCCCCACACGAACGGAGCTTTATCTTTCAAAAGAGCGTAAAGCGGCGATGCTACCAGCGCGAAGTTCGCGATAAATTTGCGAAAGAAATTTGCCATACCAACGAATCCTTTCACCTCCTTCGTTGTTGTCGGAGTCGGGTAGTCGCGGATGGCGTTGATGTTGCGGTCCGCTGGAGAGTAGCAACTGCCCGAAAGTTCATGTCCTAAAAAATTAATTTTTGAACGGGCTATCTCAGTCAACTTCTTCCCTGAAGCTTTGATGTTATGCAAGCGAAACCGGTGGAAGACCTTACGGAGGGATTCGAGGTGACTCGGAAAATCCTTGTCAAAAACGACGATGTCGTCGAGATACGCGAGACAGTTACCCTCCAAGCCAGCAAGTATGCGAGACATTGCCCGGGAGAAGTATGCTCCAGCATTCTTGAGACCAAAGGGGAGGTACACGAACTGGTAAATGCCCCGATGTGTCACCCAACCACATTTCTCCTGACTCTCTGGTGACAAAAGGAGCTGCATGTAACCAGATGCCAAATCAAGGGTGGTGTAATACTTGTGCCCTGCAATTTTGGCTAAGATGTCATCAATCCGCGGAAGGGGATAGTGATCTGGCACCGTGACCTCATTAAGCGGGCGAAAATCTAAACAGACGCGCAAGGAGCCATCCTTCTTCTTGACAAGGACCGTGTTATGAACCCACGGCGTATCACTCTCAACTATTCTACCCGCCTTTAAAAGCGTATTGATGTGCTCATCAAGCTCCTTCTGAAACTTCAACGGGACACGCGGAGGCCGATGCCGATGCGGGGGAACGTTGGTGGTGGTCTTAATGACGATTTCATGCTCATCATACGAACCTAAGTCATACGTGTGCGAGGAAATTCGGTCACGGAATTCGTAAAACAACTGAGCCAGCTGCGTGCGCTCCTCATCGGAAACCTCCGCATGTGACAAATCGATGCCCTGAGGATCAAAACAAGTCTGTGTACTGGGGCGGACAGCCCTGTTAGTCATCGCGCCGAGGAACGGCACTGAAGCATCACAAAAGGGAGACATAACTAACGTATCCGATTGCTGCTCATAGACGCGCACTGCAGAAGAGATCTGCTGCCCTTTATATAACACCTCAGGGTGAGAAGAGGGGTTGGCAACTAGAAGCCTGGCAACGCCAGAACAGATGACTGCGGGGGTCACCATGAGAGAGCGTTCAGAGAGCTTACTGCTCTGGGCAGTTAGCATCAACGGGGAGCCATCGGTCGCATCGGTCTGGCACTGGACGAACGTTTCGGACGAGGGGGGCAGCACCGTAGTGACCGCTGCGCGCACTGGAATGGGTTCTGATAAGAGGAGTTCTTCACTCTCTGGATTTGCGCACAGGATTTTAACATGGTCGTTCGCCATGGAGAAAGTGCGCGTGCTGTAATCAATGGTCCATGGCGGCAAACGGCGCAAGAGATCATTGCCCATTATGATGTTATAAGCGTCTGCCGCGATTGGAATACTCGCGGTCTCGGTAAAATAAACAGGGTGATCGAAGGACAAAGACCCTATTTGAAAACGGAGAGAGGCTTTTCCGAGCAAGCGGATTGGTATTCCCGCCATTCCAACTGCGCAAGAAACCTCACTCTTGCAAAGTTCAAAAATGCCGAAGAGCGGGGCAGTGGTCGCGGCCGTTACCGTAATCGAGGCACCCGTGTCCACCAATGCCAAAACGTGAATATTATTTACCCTTATGGGGATCTGCGCAACGAAAAGGCGATCAGAATCGGTCAGTGCTAACACGTTCACCGGAGCCATAATTGCACGAGGAGGCCATGAAGTGGTGGCGTCAATTGCCAAACGAGGGAGTTCGATCGCCTCTGCGGAAGTGCGCGGCGGGGGAGCAGGAGCAGCTGGCGTACGCGAAGCAGCCGATTGAAAGTACGAGTAGGCACAACCGAACAGATCTGTGGATTGGGGCAACCGCCCTGGATAATAAATATTAATATAGAGAATAATGAGGCGACCTACGAGCTGAATAGAAACGAGGGCGCAGCAAATCGCTACCCAAACATCAAAGTACGACCAGGACCCGAAGAGCCATGTCCAAGCCACCGAAAAGGGAGAGGCAGAAGAAGAAGATGCGAAAGAAGTGTGCACGTCATTGGCGACGGCAGAGAACAGCCGATCATGACTAACTGTGGACCAGAGCTCTTGCCATTGATGGTCTTGTATGAGCTCGCTGAGGTTGGTCAAGACCAGATTATGAAAGATGGTCAGCGGCAGAGAAAGAGCCGAAGCGTTGACGCTGTCAGGCAAGCCAACGTCGCGTACCGCGGAAGAGGGGAGGGAGCCAGAATAGCCCGATATGGGATCGAACTTGAAATAGCCATCGGGCGTGGGGAACAGGAAATGTGTCACCGAAGAGCATGGTACAGGCCGGGCATCGCGGGACACGACAAGCGTTGAAGGGTCCACGAAAGATCGCAAAGTGGTACCGCTTGGGAGGGTGAGTTCTACCTCGGGCTGGGTGAAGCACGAGTCGTTGAAGGGGAGCAGCCTTATGCTCCGCGGAGGGACACGCATGCAACGGTGAATGCGAACTACCTCGTTACCGAGGTAGGATGCGGCAAGGTCGTTACGGGCTAGGAGGTTTCGCACCGTGAAGGTAGGATTAGCCTGCAACGACGTATGGAGTGCCATTGCGAGCAGGTTGGTCCTATCGCAGAGCGCAGAAAGGGCATGGTGGAAGAGGGCTGTCACCGCTGATCCTATGGATCCCTCTACTGCCAAGAGCTGTGCCGCCAATTGGTTCGACAAGACGATGCCAACGTCACTGTCGTAAGTGTTGCGGGGAACCTTCTTTATAGCCGCGAGTGCGTACCCCTGATCGGATAGGGTTAAATCTACGCCGCAATCCCGAATCTGCGGGCTGTTGTCACGCCATGAAAGCGCGAACTCCTTCGAGTCGCTTATCCAGATGTTGCCGATGAGGTGACCTGACATGCGCATTACCGACACGAAACGACACTGCTCCTCGGTGCTGGGAGTCCAGAGAAGCGCTGAACCGTCGCGCAGAGTACAACTACCAGCGTCATAATTACAGTGCTTCAGATTACCTGCCGGCGAGTCGGGCGAGTTAGAGCCGTGGCGCATGTGTATTACCGTTGGCACCAGGAAACAATTGGAGACCGAAGCGACATGGTCGGTGCAGCATCCGAACGGAGCGGAGGGCCAAGCAATGTTCAGCTCATTAGTGGTGGCCCAGGTATCCCCGGAAGGCATGAAGGTCGCCATGATCGCACTTATGATGTTGGGCCATGAGCTTGCAGACCTCAAAAGAAACAATATTCTGATGCTCTGAATGGTGCTCGTACCGCGCCCCGAAAAAGTTAACCGAGTAGGTCACAGAGTGCGTGATTATCTTGCAAAGAAAAGCCGGCGTATCGTACCGCAACGTATTGGGGCGATAAATACGAACCGAAAGTGGGCGCGGAATGTCCCCGAGGCGCGGGATAATGCGAGAGCAATTGTACGAGGAGGGGATTCTCGCAAGAACATCAGAGTGATCGCGCGGGCAGAGCCAAGCCGAGGTAGGGAAAGCACTACCGCCACCGAGTAGAGAGAGGCACGCGATCGTATGCAAAAGCCGCACCGGTGCGTGAGAAGAAGCAGGTCTAGAAGATGAAGATGGCGTACCGCCAAAAGAAGTACTAGCTAACTCCTCATTGCGCTTAATGAGAGCGCTCGTTCTAGCTTCGGCCCGCTCTAACGCCGACTGATTGTCGCGTAAAGAAATCGAAAGAGCCCTTATTTGCTCTCGAGCTTCGGAGAGCTCGTGAGATTGGTCACGACGGACCGAACGAAAAGGAGCAGAAGGAGAACGAGGAGGGCGACGATCGTCGGAGCGAGAACGTACATTATAAGAAGGCGTACCTGTGTTCCTGTACTGAGTCCTAGACGACGGACATTGTCGGGCGATGTGTCCAACGCCACCGCAGTTGAAGCACGGCTGAGATGGGTCCGCCCGCGCAGCTCGTTGAAATCCATCGTTGCGAGGCCTCTGAAACGAACGATTTGAGGTAAAGCGCTGCGAAGGATTCGCATGCTGATATCGTCCTTGTCTCTGGTTAGGGGCCCGCGGGTATTGACCTCGCGCGGGGCTATAACCCCTCGAGTACTGACCCCGTTCAGGACTGTATGCGCGCGGGTTACCTACCTTAACTTCAATCGCCCTAGAGGGAGTTGATGGGCAAATCAGACGATTAGCCGTGGCTTCTGCGAGTAACTGCTCCACCATCTGGGCCTTAGTAACCGCCTGCTCAAAAGACGAAGGGTTGTCCAGCTTAACATAGTACCTGATATCTGGACGGAGGCGCGCGACGAACTCCTCGAGTACCCGCTCCTTTTGGCTAGTGGGATCTTGACCAGTAGTAGCCGCCCTGACGAGAGTAAGCAAGCGATTAGCGAAAGTGGCAGACGACTCACCCGTATGCTGCTGGCAGGAGGACAGGGCCTGTCGGGCCATGTACCGATGCTGGGGACCTTCGAAATATTTCTTCAGGTGGGCCACGATTGCCTCGAAGCTGTCGCGTTCCTCCTCTGAAAGCTCCTCTACCTTCTCTCTGGCCACTCCATCGAGGTAGCCTATCAGAAAGCAGGCCTTTTGCTGAGAGGACCATGATGTAGAGCGCATTCTCATTACATCTTCTAAACGACGAAGCCACATCGAGAACTGCATCGGGTCCTCACCTGACCCTATGAACGGAACAATTCTAGGTAAAGGCCCATCCGGGCTAAGAGACGCTACAAGAGGAATCTTGTTAATGCGCTCTCCGACAGCGGCAAACGACTGGTTGAGGTCGGCCAGGAGAACAGAATTACCTTCGTTAATACTATGGGTCAGCATAGTAGTGACTTCCTTCGGACTCCGTCCACACATCGTTGATTGGCGTGGACCGTGGCATCCCTGAGAGCCTTGGCATGCTTACCTTTGACTGCAGTCTCGTCACCTAACTTAGACAAGACCACTGCCAGTTCACTGGTGACTGGCACAACAGGATGATTTGAATCAGTTCTATGAGAAGGGGCAACCGCCCGAGAATCAGAAGACAATGACGCAGAACGAGAATTAGGTTCACTCATGAAGGAGAAGAGAAAACCAACGGCTCCAGAAATGATGGCCCCAGCTTATATATGAACCGTAACTGGGCGGAGAAATGGGCGGACCCATACAGTAACCGACCAATAGCCGACAGGGCCCTCGCAAAATCGGGAAGCTCGCGCATCCGTGACCTCTGGCATCTTGCTCAGGGATTAGCCACGCAATAAGTGACTGGCGAAAATCGAATGATAATCCCTGTGGTGAGCGTATCAGGTTGCTACAAGCGCGTTATCTGCCATAGCGTCATCAATATCTGTACGCAATCCGCCAGAGATGCCGCGTCCGTGCCTAAAAGATGCGAAAAAGGAGCACGCAAAAGGAGCGAGGGAGCTAGTACATCGTACAAAGTGGTGCTGCAGGACAAGGGCGCAAAAGAAAAAGTAAACTTGGATCCCGACTGGCATCTCCAAGGACCCGAATGATCGCTCAATCACCATGGAAAAATCGCCTTGGAAATCGGCTTTCCCAACGCTTCCAAGCTGGTTGTGGCACCAGCGAGAAGTATCCACCCTGGTCAATAAATCGATGGGGAAGACTCGGCCGAATCGATGAAATTGACTACTGAGCCCCTTACCGCATTGTTGCATAGTGTTGACAGCCGCCAGTGCTCACCTGGCGGCCGACCTGCTATCACTTGGCTGCCCGATATGCGAGATCCGCCGCCGGCCAAATGGCGCAGGGCGGGTGATCGCTGGTGAGGCGCGCACCCGTAGGCCGGGGGGTCGCTGGTTCGGATCCCCCCGCCGCACACCGGGTTTGCGGGCACCACTACTGTACAGGTAGTGGCTGCCCGCAAGCCGAGGTGTGTCCTGCTAAATTTGGCTGGCCGGTGTCTTTGACACCGCCGGCCATCTCCCACCTTGCGCGGAGATGGCTGGCCCCCTCAGTTCCTGGAACCACTAGTAATAGGGGAACTGGGGGGGACTCTCGGAAACGATCAATGTGGGGTTTTGACCTATCGATAACTGATCTTTGTAGTGGGCCAACCGGCCTAGCAACTCCCTATCCCCACTGTCTCTTACAATCGATTAATCACGCAACTAGATGCCACCTAGTGGCATAGAAAACATATGACTCACGCAACGAACTTTTGCGTGCGAGAACGTACCCAAACGAAATTAAACATGCACGTAAATCTCACATACTATTCGTACGAACTACAGTGACACATTAAGCTCGAAAATTCCATACAAAACACTAACCGAACCACCGACCACTCTACTTAAAACTCAACTTCTCCAACAATTAATTGCTCTTACCTCTTCTCCAGCGCTTCGTCGCTGCACTTCTCCGAGCTCTGCTCGCATCGGCCTTGCCGGAATACTCCTTCGTCGATTTTCGCTGCGCAGCCACGACGGAACTTCTTCTGCACTGCACCCTTGTGCACTTCCATTTATCTGAAATGGGCATCACTCTTCAACACGTCAGGCCTGACCTTTTAACACTTCTTAACACGTAGTACTTCCCTGTACTCGAACCAACACGTCTAGACTTTTTGACCAACCGGTACCGGGTTTTCACTGTTTCAT